AGATATGGAGAAAGAATGCAACCCTGACACACACCTTTCCTAATTTTAAACCATGCGAGTTCCCTTGCTTTCTTCACACAACAACTTCTTGGTCTAGATATGAGTTTCATACAATTAAGTGTTCTGGAATTCCTATTTTTCTCAATGCTAGCTATAATTGTTATGATCCACACAGTCAAATGTCTTTGCATAGTCAATAAAGCACATTCTTCTGGTTGTTGTTATGTGCCATCAAGTCAGCTATGGCTCATAGCAACCCCATGCAAAACAGCTCTGAAGCCTGCCCTCTCCTTATCCAGTCTCACTGACACCTACCCCCAATGCCTTAGTTACTGTAACAATCCATTTCATCCAGGGTCTTCCTCTCCTGAACTGTCCCTCCACACTTCTGAGCATGATATCCTTCTGCAAGGATAGGTCCCTCCTAGCCATATGCTCAAAATATGTGAGACAGAGCTTCAAAATCCTAGCCTCCAAGGAGAAACCTGGTTTCACCCTCTCTCAGACAGATCTATTTGTTTTCTTGGCGGTCCACAGTATGTTCAATAAAAGAGTACCAGAGAAATATCTGTGTTTCTTTGACTATGCAAAAGCATTTGACTGTGTGGATCAAAACAAATCGTGGTTAACCTTGAGGAGAATGGGAATCCCAGAACACTTGATTGTGCTTATGCAAAGCCTATACTTGGACCAGAAGGCAGCCCTCAGAGCAGAGCAGAGAAACACTGCATAGTTCTTCTGGTAGTCTTTGCTTTTATCCAGGCTCCATCTGATATTAGCAATGATATCTCTGGTGCCATGGCATCTTCTAAATCCAGCTTGAATGTCTGGCAGTTCTTCCTCAGCAGTATTTGCTTGATATGATAGTAATGATATTGTTTGATAACTTCTATACTCTGTTGGATCACCTTTCTTGGGAATGAAAGCAAACAGGAATCTCTTCAGTCGGTCAGTCAGACAGCTAGTTGTCCTCCAAATTTCCTACTTACAGTGGTCAGCATGTCAGCGCTTCATCTGTCATTTGAAACATTTCAACTGATATCCCATCAATTCCTGGGGCCTTATTTTTTTGCAAATATCTTCAGTGCAGGTTGAATCTCTTCTTTCATTACCATTAGTTCCTGATCATATGATATTTCCAGAAATTTTTCAGTGCCAGTCAATTACTTCTGGTACAGCAACTCTTTGTATTCCCTCCATCTTATTTTGATGTGTCCTGGATCATTCTGCCCATAGCATTTCTAAGCATTGCAACTTGAGGCTTAAATTTGTTCTTTAATTCTTTCTGATTCTTTGTGATTTTTCGGGTTCATAGCGGCCAAAACCACTTAATAATGCCTAGAATGTCGATGCTCATTCATTCCATTTCATTTTTCACAACTTTTAATTTTCCAACATTCATGCTCCATACATTCCATCTTCCTGTTAAAGGATGTCTGCAGCTGCTTCTCCTCAGTTTGACTGTCTACCAATCTGGATTCTACCTCTAATGCATTATCTATTCATGTTTCCCTATTGTTCATATAGTTTTCAGAGGCCTGTTACTTCAGAAATAGATGGCCAATCCTTCTTCCTATTCTGTCTCAATCTGAGAACTCCACTAAATCCTGTCCACCATGATGACTCCTCTAGCATTTGACATATCAGTGGTACAATTTTCAGTATCACAACAATCCTTATGTACAGCAAACTGACAAACAAGTGCTGTGCTAATTAGGATGATGACAAACAAGTAAGAATACAAATGTCCAAGTTTTAAAGTGATTAGCAATATGCAGATCGATTCCCCCATATAACAAACTGCTGTCAGTCTCACAGTTTAGACCCTCGATGTCCGAGTCCCAGGTATCAGCTCTAAGAGAAAGGTTCTTTTCCCTCTGGTGGTTGAATAATGTGATAACAAATAAAGTTGGATTAAGCATCAAGAACTCATATTTAACTTAATGTAAATACAGATCTCGTTACAAAGAAATAATTAGGTGCAGTCAAATAATCTCTGGCTCTGAGCAACACCATGGGACAGAGTCAAACTGCCGCACAGGGTTTCTATGTTGTAGTATTTAAGAGGGGAGCTCTGGTAGTGCAGTGGTTAAGCGTTCAGCTGCTAACGGAAAGGTTGGCATTTCAAGCCTACTACCTACTCTTGGGTATAAAGATGTACCAATCTGCTACCATAACGATTTACAGCCATAGAGATGCTCCTGAGCAAGTTCTACTCTATCTAGGGTTGCTATGAGCTGCAACCAACTAGACAGCAATGGCTTTGTGTGTGTAAGTGTGTGTGATGGATTAGGACAGGACACATAGAAGATGAGCCTAGAGCACATTACAGTGCAAACAAGCAAGGGAGTGCTTTCAAAACAAACTACTACTACTATAATAACAAGCTATGTCAAAGGGCGTCAGAAGCCATTTGGAATAGCTCCCAATTACTACTATTATTATTATACCAAAATGGGGATAATTTGAGGAGGAAAACAAATTAAATGGTATCTGATTATAACTCAAAGTACAAGGTAAATATTCATGAGTCTATAACCAGTGACTATCAAGTCAATTCCAATTTACTACGACCTCATGGGCATCATGGTAGAATTTTGCTCTGTAGGGTTTCCACTGGCTGAATTTCAAAAAGTAGATTGCTCAGCCTTTCTTCCAAGGTCCTTCTGAGTGGACTCAAATTTCCAACCTTTCCATTAGCAATCAAGTTTGTCAATCATTTGTACAACCAGGGATTCCATGGATATAAACACAGGATCATATAAATTAATAAATGAGAGCTAATGAACAAACTTCATGCATTATAATCCCAGAAAAATTGTGCCAATACACTGCCACAGGCTGGGATCAACTCAACAGCAACTAACAACTCCATTCTAAAAAAGGGACGGCCTAACTTTTCACACCCAATATGGGCTTTATGTAGTGACTTCCTTTTAAAGATGCAGCAAGGAAAGTCAAGAGAACTAAGATACTTTACAGTAAAGTAATCTGATAAATACTGCTTCAGCCAGGTGACTGCTGTTAACATCAACAGTCATAAATCATATTACTATTACTAGGCTGGAGCATTGATAATATGATGTGGCAAAAATGGCATGGTGATCGGCCTCTCTAAAACCAGTCTCATCATGAAAAAAAAGAACAAATTCCAATAGAGGGACATTCTACAATCAACCTGACCAGTATTCCTCAAAACTTTTTAAAGGTCAAAGCCAAGACGGTCTAAGAAATTGTCACAGCAAAAGTAGCCTGAGGAGACATGAGAACCAATATAATGTGGTATCCCAGAAAGGGTCCTAGAACAGAGTAAGAGCATCAGGTGAAAACTCTAGAAATCTGAATAATGTACAGACTTTAATTCATAAAAATGTATCCGTACTGGTTCATTAATTATAATAATTATACCAAATTAATGAAAAAATATTATTGTTAATAATAGTAACAATTGGGGAAAGAGTGTTGGGGAGAGGGTTGAAAGAATAAAAGGGGAACTCTGTAGTGTCTGTTAAATTTTTTGGTTAAACTATTGTAAAAAAAAGTAACATCTTAGGATTAATTACAGTGAAGAAGTAGGAAGAGGGCAACTGCACTGTCAAGTTAACAAAATGTATGTAAATTGTTGAATGGAAAACTAATTTGCTTTGTAATTTTCACTCAAATCACAACCTAAAAAAATGTCTTAAGGTGTTTGGTTTTTGGTTGTTTTTTGTTTGTTTGTTTGTTTCCAAAAAAAGTCTTTTATGCTTTCTTCCTGTTGGAGAGGAAACAGATCCTGATAGATCTTTTCCAAAATCATTTCATATAAATAAAACATTAAAAGTCTAGCATACAATTCTGGAGGGTTCATAGACACTGTTCCCTTTCTCTGCAATGGCATTCATAGATCATTGTATAATGGAGGAAAGAGGAACTCAAAGAGATTCGGGGACTGTTTTTGCTTTATGCCTTAAGTACCGACCTCAAAAGGGGCACACACTCAGATGGGCAATTTTGCCGTTCTCTTCTGTAATCCTCAGAATGCTGGGAAGGTGGTGGCTGCACACGAAGCGCATGAGCTAGGAATCACACCCACGCCTTCCTCATGGAAGGGAAGAGTTCCATCACTGAACCACTACTCCCTTGGTCTTTTACTGAGCCCCTACAAAATGCTATATACTTAACCTGTGTCTTTTTAAAAAAATCTCTTCAACCCTAAAATACATATACCACTCCTTCCAACACACAAAAAACACTGTCACTGAGTTCATTTTGCCTCAGCAACCCTGTGGAACAGAGTAGAACTGCACATAGAATCTCCCAGGTGAAAACATGAACAGAAGCCAACTGTCACCATTTTTTCCATAGTAAGTCTGATGGGTTCAAATCACTAAACTTCTAGTTTAACAGTCACACACATTTTGTTTTCTAACATTATGATGTAATTGCACTCTTCCAGAGGCACTGTGCCTAAACTTTTATTCAGAAAGGACATTGAGGTTCTCAATCTATTACACAATCTATTACAGTGATCCTGGAAAGGGTCAAACTGGGTGGTTCCTTGGAAGCAAGGATCCTGAGGCTCCGTCTGATGTACCTTGGGCACATTGTAAGGAGGGACCGGTCCTTGGAGAGGTACATCATGCATGGTAGGGTGGAGGGACAGCGCAGGTGGGGAAGGCCCTCTATGAGGTGGATTGATTCAGTGACTGGGGTAATCGAGATGGGTGTATCAGAGATGGTGTGATTGGCACAGGACAGAGCAGAGTTCAGGGCTGTTGTATATAGGGTTGCTATGAGTCGCAAGCAACTAGATGGCACATAACAACAACAACAGCAACAACATTACAGTGATCAATAAATTCCCCCACGCTTCATGTATATCCAGGACTCAATCCTGTGTCTTTCTTACTTCTAGGCTCATGTTCTAAACCTACATTCCATTCAGCCCATTAACATCTTATCTCCATTCCAACCTCCAGCACTTAGGAACCAGAGGGGGACTGCCCTCAAATACTCACCCACAACCTCTAGGCTGACTGATCCCTGTGCCTTCTCAGGAGTGACCACCACTTCACACCGGTACCTTCCTGCATCCTCCAGCTGTACCCATGGCAACTGCAGTGAGGCGTTCCCCCTCGCCAGGTCTCGTAGAGACACGGTTGCTTCACGTCGGTTTTTCTCAAGATTGCTATAAAACTGAAAAAGCTGGACCTCCTTTGAAGAATTATGCTTTAAAAAATACCAGGAGATACCCATAATTTTGATGTCTAGATGTGAGTAGCCACGAATCTTGCAGAAGATGGTGGCATTGGCATTCAGTGTCACAACCTGAGTGCTTCCTGCCATCTCCACTTCCAGGAACCCTGCAACAATGAGAGGGGTCAGTTATAGAAGACTCTTGGACAAAATGCAAGTCTGATACTCTCAAATACTACCATGTAATCAGAAGCAAATACTTTTTGGAGGGCAATGTAAGTCTGGAGAAAAGAAAGGACTGGCTCTCAAAGGCAGAGGTTCTTAATATGGTCTCTTGCTGGGATCCATTAGGCCCTTGTCTTCTTTAGTTTATTTAGCCTTTAAAAAAATAAAAAACACAAAACATAATTCTTGAAATGTAACTCACAGATCATATTATAATTCACTCAAGTGTACAATGGTTTTTAGTGTGGTTTTTAGTGGTAAGAAATGAAGAAACAAAGTGCATTGGGAAAGTCAGTTGTTAAGGACCTAAGTCAGTTGTTAAGAGCAACAACATCAATCTGGAGACTAAGGTGGACCTGATCCAGGGGATATTGTTGTTGACTGCCTTCGAGTCAAGCACTACTCATAGCAACCTTATAAACAAAAGGCCTGAAGCTCCTCTACAACTATTAACATTTATATAGTCTTTGCAATTGGTTGCTATGCATCAGAGAGCTGGACAATGACTAGGGATGATAGAAAGAAAATTGATGCTTTTGAGCTGTGGTTCTAGAGAATAGTTTTTAATATACCATATACTGCCAGGAAAACAAACAGATTAGTCCTAGAGAGGGTGAAGTTAGGCTGCTCCTTGGAGGCAAGGATTCTGAGGCTTCGTCTGACATACTTTGGGCATGTTGCAAGGAGGGACCAGTCCTTGGAGAGGGACATCACGCTTGGAAGGGCAGAGGGATGGAGTAAGAGAGGGAGACCATCAGTGAGATGGATTGATACAGTAACTGGGGTAATGAGGGTAGGTGTATCAGAGACTGTAAAGTTGGCAGAGGATAGAGCAGGTTTCAGGGCTGTTGTACAAAAAGTTGCTATGAGTCACAAGCGACTTGAAGCCACTTAACAACAACAAACAACACGTGGTAAGAACCCACACTGCAATCTTAAAGGCATACAGTTAGAATCTCCCAGCTGCTCCACAGGAGGATGGGCAATCTACTTTCGTGCAATTAACTGCCTCTGAAGACACACTGGAGGGTCAACAACGGGTCAGTTCTGTCTTAACAGTAGTCAATAACAACAACTCCTTAATTACTGGCTAGCTCACTATCTGACATTTTACATTTACAACAATAGTGAAAAATCTACTATTTTGTACATTAAAGAGGCAGCAGCTTCAGAGCGTTCCCTTTCCTGCAGGGTCTCCAGGTGGGCAATGAGAAATTGAATCATGATGAATAAGGAGAAGAATCAATGCTTTTGAATTGTGGTGTTAGAAAAGAGTATTGAATATCCCATGGACTGCCAAAAGAATAAACAGTTATGTCTTTGAGAAGGTGCTGCCAGAGTGCTTCTGGGAGGCAAAGATGATAAAGCTTCATCTCCCATACTTTAGGCATACTGGTAGGAGAGGCTATTCCTTGGAAAATGATGTCATGCTTGGAAAGGTGGGGGGTCAGCGAAAAAGAAGACCCTGAATAAGACAGATACACTGTCTGAGCAATGGGCTCAAGTGTGTTGGGAAGGACAAAGGATAATAATGGCACAGGACAGGACAGGATTCAGATGTTCATAGGTTGCTTTGAGTCATACTCAACTCAATGTTACCTAACAAGAAGGAATCTGACCAATTCCCTGATGAGGCACCACAGAGTGATAAGGGGGAAATGTTTCTAAGGAAACTGACCAGCTCCTGAGAGAACACTCCCACTGTGCACTAACAAAAAAACAAGATAAAATTGTTGCAACTTGGTTTCACTTGGTTACAACACTTTTTTGGCTCTCTGAGCAGGATCAGCAATGACATTTTTTAAGAGCAAATATTTATCTTCTTAACTTGTTGCAATTCATGATTGGGATGACGTTACTTTTGCTAGAATGGGCAAAAATACTGGTCTTTTTTTATCTTAAAATAGTTATTATAATTATTAGCAGTCTGAGATTATGGTTATCAACATCCAATTTACATACATTGTTGGTTAGTTATGAACCAACTCCCATAAAATGTATTATTAAAATTTTGAGATGCATACAGTGGTTCACCAGAGACAATGAGATTGGCTCAGAATAGAGCAGAGTTCAAAGCTATTATACATATGATCGCTATGAGTCACAGGCACATAACAAAAACAACTACTATTCATAATAATAATAATCAGGCAGTACTTTGCTATGCACAACAAAACATTATTATTATTTTTATTATTATTATTATTATATTACTATAGAATGGATTAAACATTAGGCTGCTAATCAAGAGGTTGTACTTTCTCATTTTTTAATTATTAATTTAATGAAAATTTACAGAGACTTTGAATTTCCATTCATTCATTATTGTACTTTTCTCTCTACCCACCCCTCAACCCCCCAGTACCACGCTTCTCTTTGAAGTGTAAAAGAAAAATTTTTCATTGTTTTACAATCCCTCCCCCCAGGTCCACTCCACTATGCAGCCTTCGTTCTGGACTCCTGTCATGACAATAATACCTAATCACATATCCCTAATCACATATAAACAGTTTTCTCCCTCATCTGCTCCAATGCAGTATACCTTATTTATCCCATTTTTCTCAGTCTCCCCCCAACCTCGATGTCAGTCCTGTAAAATACTGGTCTTTATGAAATGTTAGTGTTAAGACTTGATTCTAGGACACCAAGTTGAATCATATAAAAATGTAGACTAAAGGGCAGTTGTGGGGTAGCTTGGTATAAATATAGAAAGCACCAGAGCAGAATAAATAAGAAAAAAAGTACGTTTAACCATTGCACAAACAAGATCAGAAAGGGACATAGATATCTGGATGAGGATGAATCAGAGAGTGAACCTGAATGTACAGATACTAACCCTGGGCGAAGAAGGAAGTTCAAAGAAAGAGGAGAGGAAAAATTACTTAGAAATGATGTATTGTGCAATAACAGCCCAGAATAAGAGGTACATTGCAAAGGGGACTGGGGGGAAGAGAGAGAGAGGTAACTGTGCAAAAAAGAATGAATATTTTAAAAAACAAAGGGAGAGAGAGGTAACTGCAAAAAAGAATATTTAAAAAAACAAAGGGGAAAGGGAGGGAGGGAGATGGGGTAAAATTGTGCAACAATGAATGAAAATCTAACTTTTCTGTAAACTTTGATAAAAAATCATAATTAAAATAAAAATTTTATTTAAAAAAATATGTATTGCCACAAACAAAAATTGCTGGTGAGGTTGTGGAGAGATTGGAACTCATTCACTGTTCATGAGAATAAAAAAGGTACAGCCACTATGGAAAGTAGTCTGAACTTTCTCAAAAATTTGGAAACATAAATACCATTTGACCCAGCAGTTTCACTACTGGGAACATTCCCTAAAGAAACCAGAGCCATGACTCAAACAGATGCATGTACACTCATGTTTAATGCTGCATTACTCACAATAGCAAAGAGATGGAAGCAACCCAAGTGCCCATCAACAAATGAATAGAAAAACTATGGTAGCATTCACACTATGGAATATTACACAGCACTGGAAGAACAATGAACTTGTAAAACATTACACAACATGGGGAGCCTGCAGGACATTATGCTGAGTGAAATATCTCAGTCACAAAAGGACAAACACTGTATAACTCAACTTTTATAAAATAGGACACACAAAAGCGAGATGCTGGGGTGAGAAGGAGAAAAGAGTGGATACATAGTGAACACTGCATTAGAACAGATGAGGAGAAGAAATGTTCCAAGGGAAAAATATATGTATTAGGCATTATATGTATGAGAACAATCTAGAACAAGGAGTGCATTGCAGTGTGGGCTAGGGGAAGGGAAGAAGAAAATGTGCAATTTTAAAAAACATTTTGACCATCTCTGCGCATGGTCACTTGGTGTCTCTCTGAGATCACGCAATAAAGGCCTGTTTGTTTCTTGGGGGGAAAATGATGTATTGTAGGAGACCTGTATGTTGCTGTACACCAAAGCACAAATGAGTCTCGAGCCTAAAACAAACAACTGTTGTTAAGTGTTGTTAAGAGTTGCACAGCAACCCTATGTACAACAGATCTGAACACTGCCCTATCCTGTGCCATCCTTATCATCTGACACACTTGAGCCCACTGCTGCAGTCACTGTATCAATCTATATCATTGAGAGTCTTCCTCTCTGTCGTTGTCCCTCCACCTTGCCAAGCATGCTTCTTGTTGTTATGTGCTATCAACTCAGAACTGACTCAGAGCTGATCCTCTAGTACGTTTTCAGAGGCAGTAAATCTTACAGGAGTAGACTGCCCATCATGCATGATGTTGCCCACTGTCCCAGTGGTAAGGACTTTTGTCTTCTTGATGTTAAGATGCAGTCTGTCTTCTGCAATAAATGTTTCAGGTCCCCCTCGCTTTCAGCAAGCAAGGTTGGGTCATATGCATAGTGTTGGTTGTTGATGAACCTTCCTCTGATCCTGATGCCATATTCTTCTTCATAGAGACTGACTTCACAAACTGTTTAACATACAAACTCAATAGGCATGGAAAAAGGATATACCTCTGACACACACCCTTCCCAATTTTAAAACATACACTATTTCCTTGTTCCATTCACTTAACAGCTTCTTGGTCTAGGTATAGATTTTGCATAAAAACAATTTAGTGTTCTGGGAGTTCCGTTCTTCTCAATGTTAGCAGTAACTTGTGATTCACATAATCAAAAGCATTTCCATGGTCAATTAAAAAAAAACACATTCTTCTGATAATCTCTGCTTTCAGCCAGGATCCATCTGACATCAGCAATTATATATATCTCTGGTGCCATAGCCTCTTCTAAATGCAGCCTGAATTTGTGGCATTGTTGTTGTTAAATACCCTATAAAAATTGTAGATCTGAGCCTTGTCCTATCCTGCACCACACCCTACAGTCTCTAAAACAGACACATTTGGGAAGTTCATACCCTCTGTCTCCTCTGTACTATTGTTATTCCTGTTATGAACCAGATC